CGGTATATGGTTTTCTTCAAGGATAAAATCAGATTTTGCCCTCTCCACCTTTATTCTGAATGTGGTCTCTTTCATGTTTCTCAAGATACTTTTCTCCCAGATTTTTACCCCAGGCCCCATGCTTCAGGTAAAGAACAGGAGTTAAACATTTCAGATGTTAGGAGAGCTCTAGCCTTTTATTTGGAAAGAACAAAGCCCTTCCGTAAGTCCCCACAGCTCTTCGTAGCAATTGCAGAGAGGCTGAAGGGGGAGCTGGTCTCTGCACATAGGATCTCCTTGTGGATTATGTCATGTATTAAGGAGTTCTATGGACTACCTCCTCCCCTCACAGCCCACTCGACTAGGACCCTGGCCTCTTCTATGACCTTCATGACTAAGGTCCCTATCTTGGACATCGTTAGGGCTGCCTTGTGGTCTTTGGGCCATACTTTTGCCAATACATTATGCATTGATCCATCAGGCTAGGGAGGATGTAGCCCTGGGTAGGCCTGTCCTCCACTCAGTTTAAGGTTAGAACTCCAACCCTCCCTCCTAGCATTTGCTTTGGAGTCACCTACACAGAATGGACATGAGCAATCCCTTGAAGAAAAAAACCATTACTTACCTTCATAACTGTTCAAGACATGTTGCTCATATCCATTCCAAGTCCTGCCCGTCTTCCGTTCCTTGGAGTAGTCCCATTAAAAAGGAACCAAGGGGGAGGAGGGCTAGCAGGGGTATATATTAGCCGATACACCAGCGCCACTCCAGGAAGCTTCCCTACTTGCCCAATGGGAAATGGTAAGGGAAAACTTGCAGTAACATGTGCACACCTACATTGAATGGACATGAGCACCACAGCTCAAAGAACAACAGTTAAGAAGGTAAGTAACCTTTTTTTCCAGGTGTCCATTGTTGTATTACAAATTATTTGGCCAATCTGAGGACCATGGTCGATTATAGCAGAGGATAGATCAAATTCTCATTTATCAAAAGAATGGTGGTTGTAGTGAGATGCTTTCATTGTAGGAGGATTAAAGTAATATTTGTTTGGGACCCAGGCGGAGCAGTTTAAATCAGTGGCTTTTTCAAAGTGAGGCTGGCAGCCAAGAGTTGAGCTTGGAATAAAATGAGCCTGAGCGGTGCTCCTTCCATACCCACTTCATGAGGGCTGGCACTGGTCCCATTGCACCATCCAGGTGTTCCTCCTCACCCTGCTAGATTGGCATGCCCTGCAGTTTGGGCACCACTATCAGTGGCATGTTTTTCTCTGAGTAATGTCCCTGTGGGTGCTCCACATGTTCCTGGAACATTGAGCAGAGGTTTTCAGCAGCAGTGCTTATCTGGGTCATGCACATGTCATCCCAGTCTTGTGGTGCTGTTGATGCTGAATCCAGCTCACACAATCCAACTCTCCTTGACTTCTCAAATTGGATCTTGAGGTGCATACAACTCTGCTACCAACGAAAAAACTTAAACCCACTGCAAAGATCAGAACTCATTCTACCAAATCTATAGCAACCTCACTAGCCTTTCTGAACAATGTACCACTTGAGACATATGTAGACCAGCCATCCGGGCCTCTGAACATAAACTGCATAATTGCTTTTTGAATATATCTGACCTGAGGGTCTGATACCCTGCAAAACCTAGTATTGCTATCTTCAGTCACTCGGACAACTGTGAAGCCTCTTGCGGCCGTCCCCTGGGAGCACTGGTCTATAGTCACCTGGAATGGAACAACAACCATAGGGACATGATTTGAAGAAGAAAAGGTCACTCACCTGATGCAGTAACTGCAGTTCTTCAAGATGTGTGTCTCTGTGTGTTCCATTACGCACCCTCATCTCCCTGTAGTTTCTACTATAGACTCTACAGTAGAGAAGGAACTGAAGGGTCAGACCATGCATGCTAGATGAGGTACCTATGGAACCATGAGATGGAGAAGGTGCATATGTAACTCAGATTGGCACTGCTTGTGAACAACTAAAATGGAGCACCCACACAAACATTGATCTTGAAGAACCTCAGTTACTGCACCAGGAGATCTTTGTCACTTTAACACTGAATGACTTTGTTCTAATGTAAAAGATATGTAGACTTTCAACATAATATCTATCATAAGTTACTGTGAATTTTTGTAAACAGGCCCAATGTGTTTTTTTTTTTTTTTAAAGCCTCAAGTTAGGCTTTTTTAATTTAAAAAAACCTGTTAAAGTATTGAAAATTGCTTGACCCTTGTGGTGGTGGTGTGTTTTTGCAGTTGCACTAGCTTATGGAATTTATAAGCAAGATCTACCAGCTTTGGAGGAGAAGCCAAGAAATATAGTCTTTGTAGACCTGGGACATTCTGCATATCAAGTTTCAGTGTGTGCTTTTAACAAAGGAAAACTGAAAGTAAGTTAACTTTTACTAAACTGTTGCACCATAGACTAAGATAACTTTGATAACAGTAGCCATGCTTAGCAGAGACAGTGCTTAGGAAACTGTTCACTAGAGTGCATTTCTTACTGATTAAATATCATGCCTGGTGTGGTAAATACATGCTGTTTGTAGTAAATATGTATGAAATGGTAAGAACTAAAATAACCTCCAGCTATTAAATGACTGTACTTCATGGCACATTTCAAAGGAGGAATGTGGAACTCTGTGTACAGCATGGGACAAGTGAGAAGTCCCACTGACTCCGGGCTCCATGGGTTGAAATACACAAGAGCCCCTGCTGGGGACTCTTGTGCATTTCAAAGGAGGAATGCTGAAGTGCCTATTGACTAGTCAAAAGACTATCCGATAAGCAAATGCTTATCAGATAGTTGACTAGTTATTAACATCCTTAGTATGAACATTAGAATGGCCATACTGGGTCAGACCAGAGGTCTGTCTAGCCCAGTATCCTGTCTGCTGACAGTGGTCAATACCAGTTGCCCCAGAGAGAGGGAACACAACAGGTAATCCTCACGTGTTCGCTCTTCTGTCACCCATTTCCAGACAAACCGAGGCTAGGGACACCATTCCTACCCATCCTGGCTAATAGCTCTTTAATCTATCTAGCTTTTTTTTTTTTTTTTTGAACCCTGTTAAAGTCCTAGTCTTCACCACATCCTCTGGCAAAAGGAGTTCCACAGGTTGACTGTGAGGTGAGTGGGGAAAAAAAAACTTCCTTTTGTTTGTTTTTAAACCTGCTGCCTATTAATTTTTCATTTAGTGACCCTTAGTTCTTATAGTGTGGAAATAAGTAAATAACTTTTCCTTATTAACTTTCCACTCCAGTCATGATTTTATCATATCCCTGCTTAGTCTCCTCTTTTCTAAGCTGAAAAGTCCGAGTCTTTTTTTAATCTCTCTATTTGGGACCCATTTCAAACCCCTAATCATTTTTGTTGCCCTTTTCCGAGCCTTTTCCAGTTCCAATATATCTTTTTTTTGTGATGAAGCATCCACATCTGTATGCAGTATTCAAGATGTGGGCACACCATGGTTTTATATAGAGGCAATAAGATATTCCATCTTATTCTCTAACACTTTTTTAATGATTCCTAACATTCTATTTGCTTTATTGACGACTGCTGCACATTGCGTGGATGTTTTCAGATACCTATCTATATTGACTCCAAGATCTCTCTTGTGTACTTGTAGTTAAATTAATCCCCATCGTATTGTATGTGTAGTTGGGATTATTTTTCCCAAATGTGCATTACTTTACATTTATCAACATTAAATTTCGTTTGCCCTTTTGTTGCCCAATCACTTAGTTTGGTGAGATCTTTTTCTTTTTGAAACTCACTGTTTACCTCTTTCTCTATATCATTTATAAATAAGTTGAATAGGATTGGTCCCAGGACAGACCTTTGGGGGACCCACTAGTTACCTCTCTCCATTAGGAAAACTTCCCATTTATTCTTACCCTTTTTTTCCTGTGTGTTTAAACCAGTTACTTATCTTCCATGGATTGATATCTTATCCCACGATAACTTACTTTGCTTAAGAGCCTTTGGTGAGGGACCTTGTCAAAAGCTTTCTGGAAATGTAAGCATACTATATCCACTGGATTCCCGTTGTCCACATGTTTGTTGACCCTGTCAAAGAACTCTAGTAGATTCATAAGGCATGATTTCCCTTTACAGAAACCATGCTGACTTCCCCTAACAAATTATGTTAATCTATGTGTCTGACAATTTTACTCTCTTACTATAGTTTAAGCTAATTTGCCCGGTACTGATGTTAGACTTAGTCTGTAATTTCCAGGATCACCTCTAGAGCCCCTTTTAAGTATTGGCGTCATATTAGCTATCTTCCAGTCATCAGGTGCGGAAGCTGATTTAAAGGATAGGTTACCATTGTTAACAGTTCTGCAATTTCCCATTTGAGTCCTTTCGGAACTCTTGGGTTAATGTCATCTGGTCCCGGTGTCTTGTTACTGTTAAGTTTATCAATTTGTTTTAAAACCTCCACTAATGACACCTCAATCAGGAACAATTCCTCAGATTTGTCACCTAAAAAGAATGGCTCAGATTTGGGAATCTCCCCAATATCCTCAGTTGTGAAGACTGGAACAAAGAATTCGTTTAGCTTCTCCACAATGACTTTATCATCTTTGAGTTCTCCTTTAGCAACTCGATTGTCCAAGGGCCCCTTTGGTTAACAGGCTTCCTGCTTCTGATGTACTTAAAAGATATTTTGCTATTACTTTTTGAGTTTTTGGCTAGCTGTTCTTCAAACTCCTTTATGACCATAAAGTCCATCCTTTATGACCATAAAGTCCATCTTTTATAGCAGGGATGAGGACACTACGGTCCCCTCCCATGCACTCAACCCCTTATTTTGGTCCCACCTTGAAGCCCTACAAATCTGTTGGTATTGGGCCCCCAGATAAGCTAATCCAGCCACTTCTCCAGTGAGGCTGGAGCGTGAGGGGAACCCTAGAATCTCGAGTTGCATGAGCGAAGTGTCGTCGTTGTTCTCTTTTTAGTTCAGGACCCATCATTTGGGGGCCATAGCTCCCAACCCAAAAATATTACCCACTTCTGTTTTATAGACGAAGAATACAGCTATCTCATCTCCTAACTGGAGAAGTCACAGAACCAACTTGTCTATCTCCTGTCCAGTGTACATGAAAATTTGTTAAACTCACCTTTGAGAAATGAAGTAGGCTATTGCTGAATTTCAATGCATGGCTAGGAAGAGAGTTGGCTGGTGGTATTTGACAAGTGTGCTTAATTGAACAATTTTAATATTGTATTTGTAAGACTTTTTTCTTTCAAGGTTGGAGCAATAGTGGCTTAATTTTTTTTACCCTAGATTACATTTGTCTTCAGTAATAAAACACAGTTTTGTGAAAAATTAGTGTTCTGTGGTATCTTTTTTTTTTTTTTTTTTTTAAGATAAATGTCTTAGGCATGCTGTGTTCTGAACAGAGTATTTGTTTTTAGAAAGGATATGCATACCCAGTGGAACACTTAATCAAGAATGAGTGTTGGCAGATTTTATTTTCTTGATGGAATGATAAATTGCTGTCTCTATGCAACATGACAAGATAAAGATCCTGGTTCTTCTTTCTGTATGTCCAGAATGCTCTGTTCTGTGAGCCCATGGGCTTCTTTAGTGGAGGGCAATATTATGGGAAATATTGACTTGGTAGGAAGTAGAGGATCAGTATATACTTGACACATTTCACTTCTTATGCAGGTCTTGGCTACTGCTTTTGACCCTTATTTGGGAGGCAGAAACTTTGATGAGGCTTTAGTAGATTACTTCTGTGGGGAATTCAGGACAAAATATAAGCTGAACGTGAAAGAGAATGCTCGAGCTCTGCTGCGCTTGTATCAAGAATGTGAAAAACTGAAGAAACTTATGAGTGCAAATGCTTCTGACCTTCCCCTCAACATTGAGTGCTTCATGGATGACCTTGATGTCTCCAGTAAGATGAACAGGTACTGCAAATTGCACTGATTCCAAACAGAACGTGGTGGCTTTTATTCTGCCTATAACACCATATTTCTTTTTCTACAGAGCTCAGTTTGAGCAATTATGTGCTCCGCTCCTAGCTAAAGTGGAACCTCCTTTAAGAGCAGTAATGGATCACGCTAGTAAGTAGAAGTTAATTCAGGATACTCTTTCGTTTACTAGCTCAGAAGAAAAACTGCTAAATCTTTTAAAAGATATAAAATTAAAGTATGCAAAACTAAGCACTGAATTTAAATGTCAGTTGAGGTCGTTGTCAAGGCAAGCTTAATTTGGCCTCGTATGTATTACGATACGGTCTATAACAGTGGGAGGTTTTTTGTTTTTAAAAGAATGTCAGTACTAGGGTTTTGTCAAGCACAAAAAAAAAGCCAGGGAAAATTTGTTGAACCAAAAAAAAAAAAAAAACCAGTCATGGTCCCTTTAATTGCCCCGTGTCTTGAGCGGGCTTCTGTCTGGTGTGACTGCTTGCTCCCAGGGCCGGCTGGGGGCTGTGCGAGAGGAAAGCAGCGAGTGCTCCGATGCGTACTGTCACAAAAAAAGCACTGGTCTATAATTATATGATTGCATAAATTTTATGGGATTAATTCAAATGGCAACAATTTAATATGTATTCCTGATTTACTGAGCATCATTCATCCTGAACAATGAATGAGGTGGGTTCAGAGGGGGGGAAAAATGGAATATAATCATGCAGTTAAGTAGCATCATTAGGCTTGCACTATGCATACAGCTGACAAAAGCCTTAATTCTTGTGTTTCCTGACTTTAAGTCCTTGTCTCTGCAACCTTTAGTTTTTGTTGCGTAGCTTTTTATATAACTTTTTTAAAATTAAAAAATATTACATGATATGGAAATAACCTTCTGCATGAGTTATCAACAGGGTTTGAACGGATACAGTAGCTAGGTGTTTCACAACAGTGGTAAAGGTTCAATGCGACTAGGGAGTGTGGTTGGTGCAGATGGAATGATGAGCATTTAGGAGCAAAGCCTGCAGTGTAAGTCCTGCAGCACATGTGTAAATTTTCATTGTTGGTCACTAAATCTAGATGGATTTTCACAGACTGAAAAAGACCACTGTAATCTACACAAATCTACCCCTTAAACGTGTTAAAAATAAAGGGAAGGGAAAAACTAGAAATAATTTTTGTGAGCTGATTTTAATGACTAGATAAGTAATGCAAAAATTAGGAGAGACTAGATCCTGTATGCTAGAATACAATATACAGTGGGTGACAGTTGCCTGAGAGAAAGTTAGTTATACCCATATGATCCAAATCCAGAACTGCAATTTTGAATTGAAATCATAAATGCAGATTGTTCATCATGTTTCTAGTGAATGCTTGTGGTTTTTTAATGTCTGTATTGTAGCCAAAACAAGAATCAATTTAATCAAAGAAACCATATAATTAACTAAGTCTTCAAGTGATAGTTCTCATGGATTCTACTTCTAGGACACACGCTCATGCACACAGGATCAAATTCTTTTGGCAATCTTTGTCCATTGGGGCTGCACCTGTGCTTTGGATGCCCTCTAACATACCTTTTCTACCCTCCAAACCTGAGGGCAGAAAGAATGGAGCCACTTAACTGTTCTTTGTTTCTTCTTACTTCCATGGCAGTGAGACAGAACCCCTACAGTGGCTTCATTTTTGTGCACTGTGCAACTGCTCAATGTGTGTTCAGTTTTTTCTCCTGTTTATATCCATTGTCTCTAAAAACAACCAAAATCCACAAAACTTTATTTTTCTCCCGCTAGTACGTGTTAGCAGCCAAGGCTGAAACAAAATCAGTATTTTAAAACTGCCCCCATTCCTGTCATGTAGCTATTCTGATCAATGATGGCCATTTGAAATACTTTGAAGAAGGGTATATCCCTGATAGGTGCTTAATGTGTTTCTCTTCCTTCAAGATGCCAGAGAAGAGGCGAGATGTCTATTTTTAAACTTTCTGTTTTCAGGATCTCACAGTTTTCATGGCAGTATGAAAGTCTCCTCAGAACCAGAGGGGGAAACAGAGCTCAATCTAGCACTCTTGTGAGTTAAAATATAGGATGGATATCAGCCTAGGTCACCTTCCCCAATAAAAACGGCCAGGAATCCTGTGATACCTTATAAACTAACCGAAGTGTTGGAGCATAAGCTTTCGTGGGCAAAGACCCACTTCGTCATGCATCTGATAAAGTGGGTCTTTGCCCACGAAAGCTTATGCTCCAACACTTTGGTTAGTCTATAAGGTGCCCCAGGACTCCTCGCTGCTTTTTCAGATTCAGACTAACACGGCTACCCCTCTGATACGTTCCCCAATAAAATGAGTCATAGTGCCTCTAAGTGCTTACTTATGTTCATTTAATTGTAGAGGTGTGTGCTTGTCACATGCACAGGTGCTTAACATTTTTTCTTCAGTGGTATCTGTAAGGTAATGGCTCTGGTACCTTCTGGAGTGGCTCATGTATGCTGTGCTTATAAGGGACTGGGGATGCAAAATCCCATGTAAACATAGTAAGGGTGGGGGATTGGCTGGAGCAGCCCCCTGCCCACAGTGGGTGGGAAGCCGCTCCATCTTCCACTAGTTAACTGGAACTAGTTAGCATCACCCTTAAGGAAGATGCTTACGAGTTAACCTTTTACATCCCTATAAGGGACAATGCCAGTTCCCCCTGCCCTCAGTTCCTTATCACCCTTGTGCGGATCCCTAGCTGAGTTTTGAGGTTATGTTGATGTGATTGGAATAGACATTTGGTCTTGATACTGCCCTTCTTCCCAGGACATGATCTCTCATTGCTGGCTCCATTATTAAGGAGGAGTCTTTGCCAGCAGGGCAGGATCATTCATAGGTGGCACTGATGCGCTCTGTGGTATTGTCTGGAGCATAATGGCCACAGGGCCAGTATTCTGCCCTAAGCACCACTGGAGTCACTTGGTTTTGACAGTCATAACAAGGGCATAGATTGACTTAAGGGGCCTTGGATAAGTTGTCAATGACAGTCTCCTAAGTGCTCCCCAACATGAATGTGACACTGGAAAAGATCCCTCAGGGTCACCCAGGCCCATGGAAGAGGAATCAGTGGTGGAACAACTGCCTGTATCTGTTGCCTCCTCATCTTTGCCCAACAAGGTAATTACGGGTCCCCCAGAATGATGTCAAGGCTCATGAAGTCTGAGGGGGACATAACAGCTTCCAAGTACTTAGAGTTTTTACAAGACAGAATGAGAAAAATCATTCTCCAAGCATCTGTTGGGGATGATCAAGATGGTGCTTAATCCTGCCATAAGTGTGGGGGACTGTACTTGGTGACCTCGAGGTCTCTTCCAGACAGAGGTAGAAGTGCCAGGAGTTCTGATCTCTCCCAAGCCCCCAGCCCTATCCGATACCCTTCTCTGGTCACGGGCAGGGGATCTGATGTACTTATTGCCACTGATTCTGTTGATCAGCAGTGTCCTGTCAAAATTGAGAAGGTGCAAGTTGTCATAATTATCCCTCGTGCCTTGCAAGGCTGTTGCATGGTTACTGCCGAGCCACTTGGGTCTGCTCTTGCAGAACTGCAATTGGCTCCTGTACCAATACCTTTCCTCTTTCCACTTCATGGCTTTCACTTCAGCTGCTGCATGGATGAACCCAGAGGAAAAGGCTTGCTCTAGTCAGGTAAAGCAGATTCTCTCAGAAATCAAAGTTCTTTACCAGAGTGACTTACAGGCAGTCCCCGGGTTACGTACAAGATAGGGACTGTTGGTTTGTTCTTAAGTTGAGTTTGTATGTAAGTCGGAACTGGTACATATTGTAGGGGAAACCTGTAGCCAAACATTTCTCCAGAGCTCAGTTTTATTCTCCCACACCTCACTTCCCTCAGTCCTTTATTCTCAAGCTGAGGTGTATGCTGAGAAAAGCCGCTCAGCGTCTCCCTGGTCTGCTGGGGGGGAGGAAGGGAACACTAGCTTCGCGTCTCCCTAGTCTGCAGGAGGGAAGCAGCTAGTGCAGGGTTGCCTCACTCCATTTGTAAGTACATCGGATCCATGTAACCCGGGGACTGCCTGTACTTGGCATAGTGGGAGATATTGTCTTGCCAGGTATCAGAGTGTAGCATCTCCACGATCAGGTTGAATCTGCAGTCAATCCTTGATTAAGGAAGTAAACTGGTAACCTGCTACCCAGTAAGAGTCACCCTGTAATGTGGTGCTTACCGAGTAACCAGTTAGGCTGAAACAGCTCTTCTGCCCGCAGTGCAATGTGGCAGCCCAGTTAACCTGTTAAACATGTAGTGTAACAGGTTAACATTTTAAATGGGATTTTATATCCCTATCCTTGATCAGCTGCTCCACCTAAAGCACCAAGGCCTCATGCTTTCTTCCATAAGGTTCACTTGGCAGCCATTTTCGCCTTTCATCTGTGTGTCTAAGGTGAATCAGTCTCCCATGGCATGTCTGATTCCTAAGGGTCCTTGAAATGCTCTTCCCACTGATGCAGGACCTGGTTCCCTATTGAGACTTCAGTTTGGTTCTCTCATGAGCCTGCCCTTTTGAGTCTATGGCTTCTTGTTCCATCTACTGTTTAAAGTTGCTTTCTTTGTAGCTGTACCTTGGCAAGCAGTAACTTAAAAAATAACAAATGCTCTTGCAACACCTTAGGTTATATCTAAACTACATCCCTTTTGAAAGAGGGATGTAAATTAGACAAATTGCAAATGAAGCTGGGATTTAAATTTCCCATGCTTCATTTGCATAATTGCAGCCTCATGTTCTTTCGAAAAAGGGCTTTTTGAAAGTAAAACCGCCATCTAGACGGGGTTCTTTTGGGGGGAAAAAACCAAAACAAAAAACCAAACCTTTTTCGAAAGATCCTGTACTCCTCTTTTGCTGAGTACAGGATCTTTTGAAAGGTTTTGACAAAAAAATACTACATAGCTCCCAAGGGAGAAGAATTCCTGTTCTCCCATCTAACACTGAATTCTCTGGTAGAAGTGGTCAATCAAAGAGGGAGAAGACAAAATACATGTACAGCTCCCAACGATAGGGGTTGGAAGAGGCTGGATACGATTGGAAAAAAGGCATACTCGTCAGCAGGCCTACAGATCAGAATAGCTAACTCAACTGCATTATTAGCAAAGTATACACACTTCATATTTGAT